CTTGTTAGTTTGCAATGAAAATGTCATCTAGACGGAGGGAGGCGCCCATTCATCTCGAATTAAATTCAGTCATCTCTTCGGTGAGCTGTGAAACTATTCACCCCAGTCACAAGCAGCTGTGACTGACCGGAGGTGGTGTTGACAATACTGCCAAGCTGTTTTCCAAGCAAAGCCCCTTCATTCCTGTCAAGTTGCTTCACTCATTTTGGAGCCTTCTAATCCCAAGAAATTAATACAGTACCTGCTCCATGGTCAAGATGGAAGTCTCATCCTGACTGCCGCATTCCACTGCCCCATAGATTTTGCTTGTACAGTAGTCTGGTGGATCTTAGAGACTAACCCTATTCAGGTGTGAAGCCTGAAAACACATTGTGTTCAAAGGGTGCTAGGGAGGGGTGTGTGAGTGGGAGTGCCACACCCCCCCACAGCCCCACTCCACCTGGAAGTCATGGAGACCTTCCTATGTCCATTGCAGATGTCTCCATAGGTGCTGTAAATGCAGTCAGCGGGACTCGCTTACCGGTTTTCTCTAGTTAGCAGCCCTTCTTTATCAGCTCATCCCTAGGTCACCATCATCCTTTCAGCCTTACACACTTTTGGGATTAATGCCTGAACAGAGTTTCACAAAGCAGGGAGTCTTGGGTCAAATCTCATTGCTTCAATGAACTCACCCAATGACCTTAAGTGAGGGATTTCTCAGACTCAGTCCCTCCCATTTTAAACATGGGGGCAAAGATTCTGACCTGTCTTATAGGGTGATAAGGTTTGCAACACAATAATATAAGTAAGTAAGACATCTTGAACAGCTTAATGCATTTTATAGCTGCTCAATACAATATACCATATGCCTGCCCAGAATTGACTGACCCAGTTTTGCAGTAAGTGCTGCTTTAATTTATGATTGGGAGAGAACAATGTGAGGCCCTCTCTATATTACTGGATTACAACTTCCATCATCACTAGCAATCATCCCTAAAAAAGAAACAGGAGACAAACCAGTGGTCAGGGATGAAGGGAGTTGCAACCCAACAACATCTTTAAAAGCCACACAATATCCACCCCTGCTTTATGTCGCTGGTTTTTCATTTTTGGTCTTTCAGATGTTCTGGGTGTCAACTCCCAGAAGTGACCAGCTAGCGTCACCAAAGGTTACAGATTTAGGGAGCTGAAGTTTGAACATAAAGGTGGAGAACCACTCATTTATGGAATCTCAACAACGTATCACTCCCATGATGAAAATCATGGGGCTGGATCTTATCTTGGTCATACTTAGCACAATCCCTATGAAATCAGTGACTTGCTTAAGTCCTGTTGATTTCAAAAATCTACTCTAAGTGATACTAAACCTAGTTCCAAACCATAATCTCAAGAGATTACCGTGCAAGTCACTCTGAGCAAGATCAGGGATAAGCAGGCAAGCAGACTGAGAGTGATGTACCTGCAAACACTTCCATCTCCCTGACTAGAAGAGAAGTAAGTAAGCCATCAAAACTGTATTGCTCTAATGAGGTAGGGATCTTGGTTCCTGGAGACACATTCTGAACCATGGGGCTGAGACCAAAGGGACTGGTGCTTTCATGGAAATACAATAGAAAGTGTTTCTATTTGGTTTTGTGTTACATCCCAAGCATTCTCGAGGCAATTAAAACATTGCTTTAAATGTTCACAAAGAACAGAGAACTAAACAGAATATTCAATTAAATCAATCGACACATTTATATTACCCCTGCACCAGCTTAAACCTGATCATTAAAATCTGAACTAGATTCTGCATGTGTGACTAAAGTCACTCCGAAACCCATTCTGCATCCTCGTTAACAGAAAAGGTGCTGTTCCAGATTGCGACGATCCACAAATACTTGCACAGATTTTAAACATGTAATGAAGTATCTATTAGGCTCTCTTTTTATTTTTCTGATCTGAATTATTCATTTTGTGTTACATTACAACTTGAATCCAAAGGTTTTTGCAAGTGCAAGGAGTGTGTGCGGGGTTGTGGGTGTGATTTTTCATGGATTCACAATCTCTTGCAACCTAGGCCATAGCAGACAGGAGAAAACATGTGGGAAAAATCACTTCTACATGAGTAGAAGCACCTTCACCTTGGACAAAGTTGGGGTCCAACCTTTGGACACTTATGGGCCATAAAGTTTCCTCACCTTTAGGAGCCGATTGTTTTGGAGGGCACAAGCATCTACACTGGAAAGTCCCGTATTACGAGAGTAACTAATGGAAGTTAGGCTTCTAGTCTTCATCTTCATCTCCTGTTTGTCACGACTCCTTCTACTATTACTCAAAAGAGTTTTCCCTAACAGAAAACTGCATCAGAAAGTTTTAAAAAGCAGAGGAAAAGTCATGCTGAATAAAACCCAAAGCTTCTTCAGTGCAACAATCTGTTCCCACAGTGGTCAACCAGTTGCCAATGGGAGGCCAACAAGCAGGCCTAGAGAGCAGTGACACCATCTGCCTCATACTCCTCAGCAACCACTATGCAAAGACTATGCAACCACCCTGGAGCAGGAGAGAGTATATATGTAGCATCACTAGTAGGCATTGATCATCCATGACTTTGTCCAATCCATTTCTTAAAGCCATGCAACTTGGTGTCTGCTGGTATATTTTGTGATAGCAAGTTCCAGAGTTGTGTGAAGAAGTGCTTCCTTTATTACTCCTGAATCTACATCCCCTTTATGTCAGTTTCAGCGGACGACCCTGGGTTCCAGTAATGGGGGCAGGGGCGGGAGGAGGAAGCATCTCTAACTGCAGCTGGCTGGATAGCGAAGTGAAAGTTTGGGAGTTCATCTCCCAGCTATGTCTCCTGGAAGAGGAGCCATCCTGTGTAGACTTGGGCAAATTGCACCGTCCCAGGACATTCAGCCTGTGTAGACTTGGGCAAATTGCACAGTCCCAGGACATCCCTCAGAAGAAGGGAATGGTAAGTCACTTCTGAGCACAAGATACCTAGAAAACTCTGGAAAGTATATCCAGACAACAAAATGTCTTGGGTTATCACTGAATGGGAAGGCCTGAAGAGGAAACTCTGCTAAGGCAGCAGAATTTGTTTATAATCCTCCCTGGGAATCGGGGTTCACAATTGTTCAATCTAATGTACAAAGACTTCCCCTTCAGTCCTTGCTTGCAACATGTCAAGGTGGGGATGGGCTATCAGACTTCTATTTAGAAAGCATCATCATCTTGCTGAATTAGGCCAAACAGCTGCTATTAATAACACAGCAGGGGCAGATTTTTTAAAAAGCCGGTTATCTTAATTTACTGTACCTCAATCGTGGAAATAACCAATAACTAAGTAAAACTTTATCACCGTACACAGTGCTGAGAGAACATGCTCTCTCTGGTGACTCAATGTAATGTATAACAGCTAAAAAGCTATACACATTTAAAATCACAGTAAATTAGTATATTAATATTAAAATACAATTAAACATATCACAATATTAAAAACATCGCTACTTTAAAAGAAATGGAAAACATGTCAAAAAAAGAATGTGCTGCATATTCCCAACAATTGCATTCATGGACTCAAAAGAAACTAGTCAGAGGTTGTTCTCAGAGACCAAAGCAGTCTTTTTTTCTTTAGCTTTGGTCAATTTTAGAGACTAGGGGAAAGGGTGACCTCAAGTGCTCAACAGGGTCCCTTTAACAATTGCTTGTTTCCCTCTATGGTTGTGGGGGAAAGGAGGATTAATGTTTAAGCCTGCTTTCTCTACTTTTCAATTTTTTTCCTCTCTGTTAAGAAAAGAAAGCACCCATCTGTTAAAAGGATTAATTCTGTCCTTCCAACTTACAATGTTGTCCTACAGCATGTTTTTGTCAAAACCTATTTTGAATCGTGTTTTAGTTCCTCCTGAAGATATTGTTTGCTTGGTTATTTAATAAATATCCAAGTGGCAGAGAGCTTCACTGCTGCTCACTTGCAAAGGGAAAGGAAGTTTTTCTTTTCGTTTTAATTAAATTGTTTAGGGGTAGGAACCAGAAGTTCAGATTTTTTTTTCCCTCTGGACAATTGAGTTATGAAATAACAAACAAGACATCTGAGTACAGTACAGTACAAGAAAATAGGGATGAGAGGAAATGGTTCTGTAGTGGAGTTGGGAAACACACTGCTTTCGAAAAAATAATAACTGGATTACAACTCCCAGTAGCCTCAACCATCATGGCTCATGGATAGGGATAATGAGACTTGTAGATTCACAGCTCATAGAGTTTCTCAGTGGTAGCAGGATGTTGCTGTTGTTTAAAGTGAATAAAACTGAATTACACGTCTCTCTGTTATTCTGAGTTTTTTTGCTCTGAACAAAGAGTCAACATAAGAATAGTTCTCAAACACAGTGCAGGTTGCCAGTTCTTAAACTGAACCTGTTCCTTCCTACTTTTACAGCAGTATTGTTTGAGGCAATGGGTAGAAGACATCCCACTTGTTCTTGATTTCAAGGAATGGTGCTCTGTTGAGGAATAATAGAAAAAGACTAAGTGGCCATATGCTCAACTTCATGCTGTTAAAAGTTTTCCTCTATTGATTCCTGGACCTCAGATCCTTCCTAAAAGGCATAGAAACCAGCCAGATGTGGGATTCCCCATGTTTCAACAACCTGGTGCCCCATAGCATGTGTTGTTGCTTTTGTGTGTGGATAGGTAGAAAAAAAAAGAGGTTGGCAAAACAACCAAGTAAAATGCCCAGGGCCACCACAGGCCGGCTCTACTGCAAAGGAGGCACAGTGGGAATCGAACTCGCCGCTTCTCTCACGGAGTCATCCCGCTAGCTGCCTCTCCCTATGGAGATTTCCTCTCCTCTCCCAGGGCTGTTCCCAAACCTACTCGCTCCTCCCCCGAGCGCCGGGCAAGCTGAAGTTCAACGTGGCGCCTGAAGAGGGAGCTGCGCACGTCCCACAAACGCTCCAGCCAGCAGGATCACTCGCTTGGCCTCTCCCCCCGCTCAGCCCCGCACCTACCCTCGTTATCGGTGTGCCATGCGTAACTTCCGGAAATGACACTCGCCGGAAGCTGCCAAGCTGTAGTTTTTAGAACGGCAGTCGGAGGAAGAAAGAAGCGCGACGTCAGCAGAAGAGATCTCAGGGGTAAAGAAGGAGGTGAGAGGATTTCTCCCCCCCCGCAGAGAATTTCTCCCTCCTTGGCCTTTGTGGTGCTTTTCGACGTTAGGAGCCAAGCTTAAAATTAGGTCAGCCAGATCTCTTCAAAAGGGAGCACCGGGCGAGCAAGTGATCCGGTGGGAGAACCGCAGGCAGGATTTATTGCTTGATTTAAACCAGAGGCAGCTGGAAGAGTGGGCGATTCCTCTTAAGCGAGGTCAGCCCGGGGATATAAAGGGAGCGGATCACACAGCCTCGACCATGTGCAGAGTGCACTTTCTCTCTTTCTTCTCCCAGCCAGCTGTTCCTGCTCAAGTTCCCAGGTTTCTAGGCTACACGTCGTGCCATTCCCGGGGTCAAGGGCTGTGCATCCTGTATTGCACCCGCTCTTCGCCTCCCTGGAGCCTCAACTCCCAAGCAGTATAAATGTGGTGGCGCGGAATATTTTTAAAACAGGGCGTCGTGCATGCTCAGAAGGCTGCCCCTTTCATTGCATCACGGCTCTTACTTTGTAAGGCAGAGGTGGGCAGCCGTCCTGGGACTGCAGCTCCCCATTGCACGAGAGCTGGTGGTAATCAACGGTTGGGAGTTACAATCCAGCAACAACTGGAGGGCCACACGATCCCCATTCCTGCCCCAAGGAAGGTCACACTGTTGGAAACAGAGAGAGCTAAGACCAGGAGAGAGCAGTTTTATCTTAAAGGCAGTTTATATCCTCTAGGTGGGATGTGAGCTGGGAGTTTTGTTCTTGTTTGATTGCATAATGATTTGCATTTTGAGGAGCTACCTGGTGATTATTAGAGGAATTGGATATGCATTTCACTTCTGCACTAAGAGATATTCCCAAGTGACTCTTTGGTGGCTCTCTCTCTCTCCCCCCCTCCCAATCTAGGATTGGTCTGAGATAATTTTCTGGCTAGGGTGAAGGATGCAGTGGTACAGTGCACTCTCCTCTCATTCCACCTGTAGAAATCAAGGAAGTGATGGTAAGGTTGGCCATGCCGGTAGGATAGTGCCTGACACCAAACTAGATTACGAGGTGCCGGTCAGGACAGGCTGCCTCGTGACCAGAGCTTTGTCATCCCAGTGACTTGTTGCAGGCCCCCCTGGAGCACCTGCTGCTTGAGGCATCGGCCTCTCTGTAACTTAAGGGTCGAGCAAGCCTTGCCCATCTTCCTTATGGTGGGACACTGTATGATGCAAGGACGGCCTCTGTAGTAACACATCATACCTTCTTTTCCTAGTTACAGATTTCATGTTTAAGTTGTGAGAAATCCCGGATCAGGAGGGGTTGTCTTGAGTAAAATGCTGCTTGTTGTAGCACATACTGTATATACATTATCTTTTTTTTTTTAAAGTGCATCTTTGATATTTTTATGCAATCGTAATGAATTTTTAAAAAATCATGATTAACATTTAACCGTTCAACGATAGTTATCAGCTGCATGACTGTTAAACTAGTAATACTGAAGTTTATTTTCATGATAGCTTTTTACCTATGCTATATATGGAGCCACGAGTCTGCATTCTGTCTAGTTGTCTTGCTAAAGGAGAGTGGGGCACATTTACAAAAATGTCACTTGGCTGTCAAAGGATTGTGCCAAAAGAACACGGGCTTTCAGTAGCTCATCTGACAGCGGTGTGGTTGTTTTTGTAGATTTTATCTTTTTAATTTGAATAACCAGTCATTAGAAGAATGGCAATACAGTAGTTCTTGTATCAGTATAACAAAGTATCAGTGCTATAATCTGTATATGTTAAATGCCTACACAGGCTTAGTCCAACTGAGTGCAGTAGGGCTTACCTGCACGTGTTTATGAAACTGAAGCTTAATAATCTTTGTAGAACAAAGAAGTGGTAGCAAATTCTTGTAGTATTTTTGTACTTTTTTAATGTCATGTTTCTCTTAAATCTGGGACCCAAGGCACCTTATGAACTGACTGAAACAATTTAAAAACAATAAAAATTAAAATGTAATAAAATCACAAACATTGAAATAGAATTGAATTCATTGTGTTACTAAAATGCAGTTAAAATGAAAACATGGGAAATAGAATTAGGAAAAAACTGTTACAGTGAGGAGCAAGGGAGTGGAAATCTGCATTGTATAGTGCCCCACAAATATATTCCTGGCCAGTGTTGACATCTTAGCACCCAAGCTCAGAGGTGAATCCAGGAGCCCACCCGAGCTATGAGCCTAATTTTTCAGGAGTGTAACCTCATCCAGTGCATATTGAATCTCAGATCCACCTATTGGTGGAGCAGGAGCACCTCTGTCTTACTTGGGTTAAGTTTCAACTTGTTCATCCTCATTGATTCCATTATTGACTCCAAGTACTGATTTAAAACCAAAACAACTTCCTCTGAAGCTTAGATGAAAAGAAGAGATGTCATCAGCATATTGGTGGCACCAAACACCTATTATCAGATACAGTGTTCTAGTCAACAGGCCATCTCAGTGATATACACTTCTAACATTAAGAACTTACGCCTGAGTTCTCTTGTCTCCCTTTCCCTTTTCATCTTGTGCTTTCACTTTTGGAATACATTTTTAAAGTATGTGAATCACATTGTAAAGCCCTGTCCTGACTGCCAAGACTATACCTAATCGGAGTGTTGCATTGTGACTGACACCTATATTTCTCAAATACAAGGTGTAAAGCACCTTCCCCTATCCAATGCCTGGACTGTTTTGTGATTTTTCTGAAGTGATCAAAAAAGTTCTTTCTTTTTGGTTCTTGGTAATAGGTCTTGGTAACAGGTCATAAGATACCAATTGTTGTGTAGTGGATAAAGTGATGGTCTGGGTTCAGATCCCTGCTCAGTCATGGGAAACTGACTAGGGGGTATGGAACTGGTAGAACCACTCTTAAAATAGCTTACTTACCTTGAAAGCCCTATTAGGGTCACTATAAGTTCTGCACTAGCCATTGTAATTATGGAACAAGAGAGTCATCTGTTCTGGAGCAACACAGAATAAAAGTGTCATCTATGGAGGTTGACCTATGCCAGCTTGCCCTGCCTGGACCTTTTCCCCAGAGCCCAGCTGACCTTGTTAAACCTTTTCTTCTGTACATTACAGGTGTAGTCAGGCAAACACTCTAGAGCTCTAAGGATGGTGCGGATTTTGGCAAACGGTGACATTGTACAAGATGATGATCCTCGAGTGAGACAGAACACCCAGAACAGGAACAGGGAAAATGCTGCTCAGCCGGTGAGAGAAGGTGGATCTGTTGTGTTTTGCAGTTGTTTAGAATAATGTGAGAAACTTGAAAGAATTTACTATTTCTAAATTGCCTGATGATGATGGAAATATGAAAAGGCTTTCAGTTGTTTAATGTGGTTTACAGGGTGTGTATAAATGCCATTTGAGGTACAGTTCCACAAATTCACTTCTTTCTCTCTGGGCTTCCTCCACAGGGTTTTTTCAACACAATGACTAACGCAGGCCCTGCCCCACAACAACAACATCACCAGCAGCAACACCAGGGGGCAAGACCAGGGGAACGCTCACCGTTCTCAGACATCAATCAACAATTGGTGAACATGGGATTCCCTACCTGGAACCTTGGCAACCAGGTGGTGGAGCCAGTGATGTCCATCTTGTTGCTGTTCCTCCTCATGATGGTGGGCGTGCGTGGCCTACTCTTGGTGGGACTCATCTATGTTGTTTCCCACTTAAGCCAGCGATGACAAGGACTTCTGTACAGGCGATGACTGCTGCCTGGTGGAGAGAGCCAGAATTTCTCATCGGATGTGTGTTAGAGAGAGAGAGAGAGAAAAACATATGGGTCCACATGCCCACAGTGTGTATGTGTGTCTGCTTATTCATGTATGTTCCTTGCTGAGAATTTTTTTGTGAATTGAATTCATAGACAACAGAAACAAGCAGTGTGGATTGTGAATTCATAAGGACATAATTTTCTTCCATTTCAGTTTCCCTCTGCTGAAGCTTGAGAACAGGCTGTCTTTATCTGTGGCACAAGGCATTGTATCAGAAGTGTTAGGTTCATTCTGCCGTGTTGCTCAGGGTGCGCTAGATGTGGCAGGTGGTTGGATGAAGCTTTGATTTCTTTGCTTTGAGAGTTGCAAGTACATTAGGCACATCTTCTTGAAAGGTAAACAGAAACATAAAGGGGAATGTATTTCAACCTAGGAGATATATATATATATATATATATATGGGCAGGGGTGACAGTTTGGAAATCTCTGCTCAGATCTCTTTTGAAAAGGGCAGGTATTTGAAAATTAATTTCACAACCCAGCTCTCTAAATCAGATCTGTCACAGAACCATATTCTTATCTCCAAATGGAGAATGTCTAGGTCTAGATGTTATAACTACACTGAGCCAGTTCTTACTTCCAGCCCAACCCACTCTGCCCTGGGAGTACCAACCCAGGTGGCTGCTGAGCTTGTATCTAACTGGTGTTTGGAAGGAAAACCGTTTTGAGGATGGCCGCCTCCATGTGGGAGTTGATGTTTGTCCTGTCCTCATATGAGTGGCTGCAGTTCTTGCAAACAGTGTCTCTGTATGAGTGTGATTCCATGGTGTTTCCTTGGGTGCTCTGATAGGGGCTACTTCAAGCATGAACCATCCTGTTAGCTCACATACTTTGTTTGTGGTGGTCTTTATGTAGCAGCGGGGGAGCCTTCTTGAGTGAGGGTATAAAATGGGCTTCACTTCTATTACAAAATCATGAACGGTATGACTGTAATTTTCTTTATCTCTGTGTAACTCAGTGAAAGCGGTGTTCCACATTCGGCAAAGGCTGCCTCCGAAAAGAATAGAATTCAAAGAAGGGATTTTTTTTCTAACTGCCTCCCCAACTCTATTTACAAACTGTTTCTTACTATCTGTGTTCTTTCTCTTTCCAAACAGTTTGTACCCTATTTTCCTTCTTTCTTTCTTTGATCTTGTGGATAATAATGAACATTGCATACTAAGCAGAGCTACCTGTGTATTTTATTTCACATTTTAGCCTTTGAATATAGGACAACTTGCAGCATGATTGAAAACCAAAAGAAAAAAATAAACCTGTTGACATATGACACAGAGGATGGCTGGACCGTTAACGTGTGTGTAGGCATAGAAATTGCCCCAAAAAAGAAAAGGCCACAACAAGAAAAAGCCACAACTTTGCCTCTTGAAAGCTGATGTAAACAGGAAGACCTCATCATGTTTTTCGAAAAGGTTTTGGCCAGTAGTCTCCAGGATGGGAATGACAGTGAAAAAGAGACACATCTGAGTAGGCAGGGGTGTGAAATAATATCCCCCCTCATATACTCTCATAAGAAATATCAGTGGCAACTTAATTTAGATAGTTTCACAAACTCCTCCAGAGTCCCACTACCCACTGGTTACTTTGGGAAACGACTGATCCCAATTGAAAGTGTATCCCATGTAGGGAGGAAAACAGGTGGGCTGGGGGAGAATGAAGGCTTTGAAAGAGGATCTACAGTTGGAATTTGGCTCCTGAGGTTTCCTTGTCTGCTATGCTCATGGCAAAAGGTTTGCAGACAGGCTTCAAGTGCATGGATGTGATTTAAATCAGGGGTCTCCAACCCCCGGTCCATGGCCCGGTGCCGGTCTGAGGGCTTTGCAGGACCAGGCTATGGAGACAGATCTCCTGCCCCCCTCCCACATGCACGCATGGTGGGCGTGGTGTGCTTGCAGGTGGGTGTGGTGCGCTCGCACGTGTACACACATCACTTACCGCGAGCACGCCATGCCCACCCGTGAGCAAACAGTGGTGACTTGTTGATGACCAAATATCTGCTCACCAAGAGGTATTAAGTATGTAATTCTTGAGTAGCAGCCAACCTTTCCATGTTGCAAGTGAAGGGGGCTATCTAGAAGACTGGTATTCATGGTGATAGGGGCAGCACGCTTTGCTTTGTTGTTCAAAATAAAAAAGTGAAATAAACACATCTGATACAGGGACCTCTGTCAGCCTAAGGTAAATTATGGAAGAGAAAGTACAGCTGACACAGTATTATAACTTGGGATTTTTTTATTGATCCATTTTTAAGCCACCTTAAGTTCTTGCCTTGAGAGAAGGGTGTGATGTGAAATACAATAACTTGCGTGCAAGTCCCTCTTGCCAGATTTTCTGTAGTCACACATCTCTAGAAAAAAGTGCATTCAAAAAGCTTGAGCTTCTCAGGAAACAGTTCTTACTCCCACATGGACTTTGTGTAGTACATGGCATGGTCCTCAGGCAAGGCTGTGGGAATGATGATGTGTAAGTAAAGATCATGATTTTCTCTCCCACTGCTCCATCTGGAGAGACAATTAAAAAAATCATTATTAGAGTGTGTTTTTTCTGAATAGAGTGTTCCAAGAGGCCTCCCACCGAAGGCACTGATGAAATCTACATTGGCTTTGTTTGTGTTATCCTTCTGCATGAGGCACTCCTAAAGCCCTCACTAGATCTTGAGAAACAAGCCTGAAGATGAGCTACAGTATTATGTT